AGACAAAACACGGAGACAGAGAACTGTCAATCGAATTAAGAATGTGCCCGTGGGAATGGAATAGTTCGCGATCGTAATTGGGGAAGCGAACAATGTAATTCAGGGTGCCGTGGGAAAATCGTTTAATTTTTTCTTTTTGATTCACAAAGTATTATCCTAAAGACTAAACTATGCAAAGTTTTAGATCAACCAACAAAATATTATCCAATTGGTTATTTAAAATTTGTTTAATTTTAACGATTTTTTATGGGTTCCCCCATTGCATTTTTTCGGTTTTTGGGGGACCCATAGAAAATAGTTAATATTAATAAATTATTAAATAAACGATTGAGTGTTTTTTCTGAAAGTCTCCTGAAGAGAAAAAGAGTTTGCCGATTGAAAGCTTTGATTTTCTAGTATTTCTACGAAAAATAGTTTTTTCTCCATATGAAATACATGGTAAACTGTGAGCGCTTTGAGCCACCTCTAAATCTTTTTTTATTGACCTGAAACTTTGCATAGTTTTTTAGTCTTTAGGCTGTTCACACATTTCTAGGGGGTGAGATCGAAATAAGGGTCACCCTAATGTACATATCACATTTCGCTAATATTCTGAAAACATTTACCAGTCTTCAGTTGTGACTGCTTCGTCAGCATCTGACTTCCGCATTAATAAAATTATAGGCCACTTTTTCTTATCACTACTACATATATACAGCTTAGTATTCAGCTTACAAGAAAAACCAAAAAAAAATATGCATTTCAAAACCGCTCAAGAAATGTAAAAGAAAATGTGTACTAAGTATATGTACATACAGTGACTCAAACAAGTGACCACGTGTTGATTTTTTAAATATTCATAAATTTAGATTTTCTTTTTCCTGTAAAAATATAGCTTTAACCAAAATCATATAAGCCACAGTTTCAAACTTTATAAAAAATTTAAGAAAATTCAACATAAAATACGGGAGAGCTTTCGCAACAAAATTTAAAAATTCGTCTTGATTCTGTTTTAAAATGGAAAGTTTTTTCACAAATTTTTTACTAACAATAATTCGCCAAATAATTTCTTGCCAGGAAAAAGCCTTTTATGATTTTCAACCTCTTAAAATGCTACAGTGAAAAATTTAAATTTTCACAAAATTCTAATAGTATGAGAATTTGTCCCTCTCGCCCTCAATACAGAAAAATGTTCTTATATTTATTGCTTTGAGAAAATGTACAGCAACGGCAAAGAACTTTTTCAAGCGACATCCCACCATGCAAAACATGAGAAATAGGCAACAATCGTCAATGGCAAAATATTGGCGACTCGCCGATTTACACAGCGCTTACAAGCCAAACCAAATGTGTCAGGTTTTTCTAAAGCTTTTTAAAACCAATTCTTCATTCTCCTTCCCGTGGCTGTTTCAGAATTTGGGTAATCTGTAACGTCATCAGCGTTTTTCAATTTGAGTTTTTTGTAATTCATTTTTAATACTTTTTTTCCGACTGGTTTGAAAAATTTGTGCTTATAGCGAGCTAAATATGTGGATATGAAAAATAAATTATTATTTTCCAGGAATGAAAATTTTGAACAAAATTGCTGCCAGACCTATCGTGTTATTTATTATTTGCGCATCGATTCTCTTTATAGCTCGACGTTGATCATTTCTGCTGGAAATCCCTGTTGAAGGAGCTTACTCTTTGACTTTAACAGGCCTATTCTGCTTGTAACCAAACATTTTGTAACAAGCTAATTTTGTTACCAACAATTGTCACCACTTGCAACCGCAATTCTATTTACCTTGGTAACGTTTTAATTTATTCAGCAATGGAGTTTTGTTGAAATTCTGGTGTTGCATATTTCACGGGGAAATATTTTGTTACCTGCTCATGAGATGGTAACAAAATTTACCGGTTANTTTCACGGGGAGATATTTTGTTACCTGCTCATGAGATGGTAACAAAATTTACCGGTTACAAGAGTGTGGGAAAAACGAAAAGGGTTTAAAAATTGACAGTAACTTTACTAACCGGTAACAAAATTTTTGTTACCAACGCAGAATAGACCTGTAAATAGCAAAGAAGGGTCAGTTTTATCACAGAAGTTTTTAGCCAAGGATTCAATGTATATCCGTATGAAAAAAATATTGCCCGACAGGTAAACAAAATTACTGTTTTTAAAATTTTTGCTAAAAATAAATTCTCCAAAGAGCCCCATTTGAAATTATTGAAACGAATATATGTAACATCAAGAGCAAATCACGAAAATTTGATTAAGAATTGCAGTGCACACTTTCTTCTTTTGTGTCTAGTAGTTTTTTTAAGATTGGTCCAAAAAAATCATAATAACGAAAGAAACCAATGCAGGTATTTAAAGCACAAAAAAAAAAATTTTTTTGTTAAAAAGGCTGCGTTCGTTTTGACGCACCTCAAAGGTTGAATAGCTTAAGAAATAATATGTTTAAAGAAATTTTTATCAAAGTTGATATGACATTTGACTTGTTATGTTACACAAATACTCCCATGACCACAGGCAAAAATATTGGCTACAATTTGTCATTTTGTTTGCCATATACATATATGTACGTTTTATCGGTGCACTTGCACAATATTCGCATTCACAAAAGCTCCGCATTGATTATTGCGAATGCGAATGCGAATGTTAAAATTAATGCAGAAGTTCCGCGGTTGCGAATGCGGATGCGAATATTCGCAACAACCCTGGTATGTATGTACATATTTTTTGAATATCAAGGAACATAAATCATTTAAAAAGAAGTGGCTACTTAATAGCGTTTGTACAACTTTTATTAGCTGGGGCCTAAAAATATGCACATTCTTTCTGTAACTGCAAAACTGTTAACCCGACTATCTATTTATGTATTTGCTTATACATACGCATGTAATCGATTGTGCCATATGAAGGCAAAGGGCCATAAATAATTTTCATAAGTAGCTTTTCAAAGAAACTCTTATTAAATGTTGTGAATACCACACACGGCTTTTCAATAATTTTTCTTTTAAAAATTTGTTTTTTTTTCTATATTTGTACAGTGTGACCAGTGTATGTTCATGCAAAGTTGTATTTGGAAAAGTTGAACGGTTAACAATTATAATTTGAAGTATAAAGATTGGATTTAAAAGGTAGTTCTTCTATTATTTGATTAAAAGAGATATTTTATTTACAAGTTTTGAATAAGAATATACTCGTCACGGTGTAAGTATACCACCCTAAAGCTTCTTTATGCTCGTATCTCTGCACTAACTGACTTTTTTCAAAGAGTGAAGATATTCACAGCTTCCTGGTTATCTGACCATGTATGAAGTTGTATTTTTTTCAGCTTCCAAAATTAAAATACACGCAAGGAAATGATATAAACAGATACCTTTATAACTAGGATGTGCCAATACACTGACAAAAAAAATAAACTATACCGTGCTTGTTTCAAACGAAAACACATGTGATTTGGCGCCTGGCGATCCTTGTTTACTATAAAAAAATTTTGTGTGGCGATTTTTTGGTTTGAATACGCTTTCGGTCCTCACTTTTTTATTATCCTTTAACATGGAGAAACCACAGTGAAATTATACCAGGCGAAGGTGACTGAAATAATAAAAGTCAACTTTTTAATCTAATTTTATATCAAAAATAATTCTTGTCTAAAAAATACACAATAAAAGTCATAACTGTTAGTTTCGCTTCTGTTACTAAAAAAACACTTTGCAGCCCGTTTATACCGAAATCCTTGCTTCTTAACTCCTCTATGTCTAAAAAACTCGTGAAATTTTGTTGGTCCCTTGAATTACGAATTATAAAGATTGTATTGCATCGTTGTCCATGTAACTCCTTCCTAATATTTTTTAATTCCAATAGAAAATTCTACTCGTTTTTTGACTAAGCCATTTTTAGTACCAATATACGCTCCAATACAACACATTAAACAAAGAAAACGTAAATAATAAGTTTTTATTAAATTAATATTTTATTCATATTACATTAAAAGTAAAAAAATATCGCGTAACAATTTTTTAAGGCTTACGTTACTTACAGAAGTATGAACTACATACTTATGTATGTATGAATCGTTTGATGGTCTCTTTTGTTAAAACTAGGCTCTACGCCATCGTACAGTCTCTTAAGAAAAAATCACAATCAGCTGATTGTTAAAAAATGCCTACAGCTGCGATCACCAGTTTTCGGGAATTTTCGTTTATCTAAAAACACCAGGGACCGTTACAGTTACAACTTTTATTAAAAAAATCACTCTTTAACAATTATTTTTTGACTTTTATTTAATTACTCTTTAAATAACCGTTATTTCTGACTTTTATTTTATAAATCGAAAATAACAATTATTTTTGATTTTTATTTAAATAATCTGCAAATAACAGTTATTTTTAATTTTTAAATTATATGTCTTAAATAACAGTTATCGAAGACTTTTATTTATAAAAGTCATAAATAAAAATCAGTCACTGATCTTTATTTTTTCAATCATACTTATAAAAGTCATTTGAATAAGTCGTAGTAAGCTTTTGTTTTCCAACACCTTAACTGCGAAAAAGGTTAATGACTTTTATATGATTGATTTAAAAAATAAAAGTTGGTCACTGATTTATATTAATGACTTTTAAAAGTAAAAGTCACTGACTGATTTTTATTGATGACTTTTATAAATAAAACTCTTCAATGACTGTTATCTAAGCCATATAATATAAAAATTAAAAATAATTGTTTTTTTGGATTTATAATATAAAAATCAAATATAATTGTTATTTTTTTTTTTAAATTTTGCGTAAAAATTGCAAATAAAAATTTATTTTGAAATTTAAGTCTCGGTGCAAAACGAAATCTATTGGTATGTTTCACTTAGTTGTAGAACATTTCCTTCATAGTGAATTTTTCCATGACAGTTTTCATCAATAACTGTTATGTTCGGTCCCAGAAAAACACTGAATCAACCAACACCAATACACTAACCATAAACACGCCTACAATCTGCCACTTATAGAACTGTACGATGCTCTACGCTCAACTAATAATATTCAGCTGTATCCTTCTTTTGTTTTCTTTTGATATACGCCGCAACGCGTCCAGGTCTATAACCGCAATCCACCGTAACTTTATCCGGAATCGCTTGGGCTTCATTCGAATAATAATCATCACTATGAGCTGTAGTGATCTTACGGAACTTTGGATTCTTAAACTGTTCGGGTACATAGCCCAATTGCTGATATGTGAGGGTAGGTGCGTCAGGCGCCTCCACCACTTCCTCTTCTTCGGTTTCGATCACTTCCTCAGACGGCGGCGATGCTGAGAGTGTGGGCTTTTTGTATGTAATTACATCATTTTTCAACTTGAAGAGATTCTCCTCGGGCACATTGGAGAAAGTAATCTTTTTCATACTATCAACTGGTTGCTTTGCAAAGCCATAAGCTAACTTGGCTTCGGGTACCGCAACCGCTTTAGTAGCTTGCAAAGCCAAACTGATGCTTATAGGATCAGCGGGAATGGAGTTACTCGTCGTAGCTTTGGGTTTTGCATAAGTTATACTGAAATTGACAGAAATAGAGGTTTAGGGTAAGGAAATCATTTTTGTGGAATATATTTTTAGACTTACTCAGGCAGAGGATATGCAGGTGCTGTTGGTGAATACCCACAACCGCATGCGCTAGGCGCTGGTGGCGCTGGCGGTCGGGGTGGTAGTGGAGCCGGCTTATAATAATCAGTGCCATATTTGGGCGTTGAGGACGCTGGTGGGTGGTAGTTGGGCGAGGGTGGATAATAGTTGGACGTAGGCGGTGAATTACAATTGCATGTTGGATATTTTGGCGTTGGCTTCTATTCGAATAAAATTATAGAAAGAGGGTGTTTTAATACCAGTTGTAGCGAATTAAAAACTAAAGCGCGCCGAACGCGTGCGGTTGATGGNANANAAAAAAAAAAACCTGAGGCGCGCCAATTTGTTGACACAAAACGCACGTTCAACTAGTGAAATGATGATTTCGATGTTGTTTGTAATTTGATAATGTGTAAAACAAATGATTATGATGTTGGCAGCGAAGTCTCGTACAAACTCTGCCCTAAATGGTAAATAATGAATGTACCCGATGCATATTTGTTTGTATGTAGGTATTTATGCAGATGTCAGCTGAAAGATCGCTGTAAGCAAGCGCACTTTTATATATGTACATATATGGAAATATGATATGATTGTCGAACGAATTATTTACTGATCGCTTATTTATGTGCTCATAGGTAAATATTCGGTTTCAACATTCTCTAGATTAGTAAGACGTTTATGCAGACGATTGATGTGTTCATGCTTGGCGTTAATCACAGCTTCGATTGCTTTACGCTTTAGTAAATTATTCCATGTCCAAAACCATTGGAACGTATCACGTACTTTGTTACATGGCTTGGGCATTGTCGCCGGTTCAACGAACACTTTATTGCATGAGCAGGTGTCACCGATGGGTTTGAGATCCAGGTCTGGATTCGGATAGACATAGCGTGGTTTGGGACGCACAAATACCGGTTCCTTGTGCTTGGCACAATAATCGACACCCTTCTCATTGCAAACACAGCCGGCATTCACCTGTGGATGTTTGGGAAATTTTCGTTAGTGTTTGTGTTTTTGGCTTCACTGATATTCAAAACTCACCGAGAGCACAGCTAGCGAAATTAGCACTAATGCACAGCATATAATTTTTCCTGGCATTTTTATGTAAAAATGTGCACAAGCGTATAAATGAAATATTTAAATTTGCTGCAATTATTTCACCACTTTTTATTTTTATATTTTCTTTTTCAATAGATTCGCTAAAATGCACTTTTATCTTACGCTTCGATGTCGCATATTCTGTCGCTGTTCTGTCTTTGAAACCGTTGTATAAAGAATTGTTGTTTATATATCCACCACTTTTCTGATATCCAAATCTGCCGCTGTACTAACTACATCATCATCCACTTGGCAGCTTCGTGCAGAATTGCGTGCTTTGAATTCTCGTTAAATTTGATAAGAAGTCGTGGCAGCTACGAGTAAGCCAAGTCATTGGTGTTACGACATTGCTAATACGTAGTAAGTAGTTGGTGCAAGCGATTTGAATAGGGACTTACAGTGACTCAAACAAGTTTTCACATGTTAATATAACAATGTTTTTCAAGTTGCATTTTTTTGATATTTTTTTTTTAAATATACATAAATATATTATGTAAAACAAACTTTCAAATTTTAATCGAACTTAGTATCTGAATTTTTATATATCTTTCATTAAAAATACTGTTCTTGTTAAACAAAAACCATACATTTAATCCATAGATCAAACTGTATACAAAACTTTGAAAGATTAAAAAAAAAAAATCATCAAAATTTAGAACTTTTTTGGTATGCAGTTTTATAGTCGATAAAATTTTAGTATAATAAGGTATAAGTTTCAGAATTTCTGATGGGAAAAAATGCGCAACACCATTCGCACAAAGATTTCAAAAAATCATTACAAATTTCAAATGTTGTATGCAAAGAAATGCAAAAGCCGTCAGCAAAAAAATATATTTATTAAAAATGAACGCGATTTTCTAGCCCCTTGAAACTTTCGCTTAATTACACTATAAAACTCCATACCCATACATACTATAAAACTGCATAAAAAATACTTTTATAAAATAATATCAAGCAAAACTTTAGCTCGAAAAACATTGCGAGTTAAAAAAAAAAATCAACATGTGAACACTCTTTTGAATCATTGTATCTATTTGCGTATTGTAAGAAGTCACTGGTGGTCGTGGTGTCGCTTTGTAAGCGAATCAAAACAACTGTAAAAAAATTTCTAATTGCTTTCCGAAAACTTTACTACAAATGTAATGTCTTGAGAAAGTGGCGAATTGTCATGTAGCATACAAAGATCTTTCATGAGCTGTCACCTTTTTTACTAAAAAAAAGTTTTCGCTGACCTTAAGTAATGAAAAGAACAAACACAAAATTTATCTACACCGTTTCTTCATATTCTTAAACGGCTTGATATGCTCTCTAGATAATACAACAAAAACATATGTATGTACCCTGCAGGGAAAGCAACTAGTTGTGAACTAGAATTCTACCGGTTTGC